GAGAACTAATAAGGCAAGAATGGATCGCCATCAGTCAGGATTTGGCCCAGAAGCTAATATCCAGCATGCCAGAGCGAATTGCAAAGGTTATGAAGAACAAGGGTCAACACTGTAAATATTGACTCATTATATATTTTTTGCCAATAAAAGCCTTTAAAACGTATGATATGCTTATCATTGTTTTTCAGTATACCATAGAAACATGTGGAAAAATAATTTACAAATACTGAAGCAGCACACTTTTTAAAACAAAATGTATGTCACTGTCAAAACTTTTGGCCACGACTGTACTTAACGAGCAAACTGTGTAATACAACTTGTTTTCAAAATATATGAGTTTGAGTTTATCAAAAACATGATGTGAACATGAGTAAATAATCTCATTTAGTTTCCTTCATTTATATTTATTATAAATTATATTTATAATTGATCAGGCTCCAACAATCAAAGCTACTATATGAAATGAAAATGACTAAAGACATTGCATGGTACAATATACATTTATTAATAACTTCAAATCATAAGAGTTCCTACTAAATGACATTAATTTAGGTTCAATCTGACTGTCAACTTGAATTGAGGTATATTTTGTCCAATCACAGCTGCACACTGGATGAGATTGTGTGTGTGAGTGTGTGTGTATGTTTGTGTGTGTGTGTGTTTACAGCATATAAAAACACACAGGGATGGTAAGACTGACTCACCGTTTCCAGGCTCACACTCCTCGAGATCTTCATCATCACTTGGACATTCTGCTGACGCTACTAACAGGTCGTCAGTATTCTGCAGAGAAAGAGACAGACAGACAGTCAGTACAGTGTCCATCTTCAATATAATGAATTAAAAATACATCAAACACCAACCACATTCACAGAGACAGCTGTCATGTCCCTCACACTCTCTGACTGCAGCTCTGTGAATCTCTGTTTTCAGTCCATTAATCAGGTGTCCATGTGTAAATATATACTGTCATATCTGAACACACAGAGCACTGGAGACTGTCGTCTCTGAGCCAAAGCTGCCAGACACAGTGTCTGAAATCATTCTCATCCATTTCTCATGACACGTCAAACTCATTTCAGCATCTGAACATATCGAGAAAAGTAGTCTCTCTGAGGAAAACACACAGTCAGTGGTGAAACCTCAGTTTATTCAGCCATCAGAGAGATTCTCCATCAGAACAAAGAGCTTCTGATCAGACCTGTGATTGACAACATGTCCCTCTGTCTGTCTTCCTGTCCGTCCATCTGTCTATATGTCCATCCATCCATCTGTCCATCTGTCTGTCCATCCTTCCATTTGTCTGTCCGTACATCACAGGTGTGGCATATCAAGATGTTGATTAGACAGCATGATTATTGCCACACCTGTGCAATAATCATGCTGTCTAATCAGCATCTTGATATGCCACACCTGTGAGGTGGATGGATTATCTCGGCAAAGGAGAAGTGCTCACTAACACAGATTTAGACAGATTTGTGAACAATATTTGAGAGAAATAGGCCTTTTGTGTACATAGAAAAAGTCTTAGATCTTTGAGTTCAGCTCATGAAAAATGGGGGCAAAAACAAAAGTGTTGCGTTTATAATTTTGTTCAGTGTATGTCTGTCTGTGCATCCATCTGTCTGTTCATCTTTCCATTTGTCTGTTCATACATCTGTCTGTCTGTCCGTCCATCTGTCTGTCCGTACATCTATCTGTCTGTCCATCCATCTGTCTGTCCATCTTTCCATTTATCTGTCCATTCATCTGTCTGTCCATCTTTCCATTTGTCTGTCCGTACATCTGTCTGTCTGTCCATCCATCTGTCTTCCTGTCCATCTTTCCATTTGTCTATCTGTTCATCCATTCATCTGTCCATCTGTCTCTCTGTCCATCCATCTATCTGTCCATCTGTCCATTTGTCTGTCCATCCATCTGTCTGTCTGTCTGCCCGTCTGTCTTCCTGTCTGTCCATAACTAAAACTAAAACTCAAACCATAAAACAATCAGCTAATTGCCAAGGCAACGATTCTCAGAGTTAATGTACTAAAATAAAAATAAAAATCTGAAATAAAAATGAATGAAAACTGACTTTTCAAAACAACACTGTATACTAATTAGTCATTTTAACAGTCACTAATCAGAATAACGAATCTGTAAACTAATCTAAACCTTTTTAAAAACATTTTCTGCACTGATTGTTATTCAAATATTTAGGAATACAAACTCTTCCAAAATGCAATTATGATGATACAGTATACATAAATAAGTGTATGAAGAGAATTAGTAGTTGGTGTTAGTTCTGGTCAGTGAATCTCGTCTCCTGAATGCACGGATCGGTTGTGTGACTGTGAACTGGACGAGGAACTCGTTCTCAGCAGATTTATTTAACGCTCGCTCTCGCTGAACCAGCCGCAGGACAAAATCCTGTTTTCTTTTAATTAGTTCTGAAAAGCTGCAGACTATTGTACTGAAGCCTGGAGTGTTTCTTCACTTATTTATTTCATAAAGTGATATTTATTAGAGACTACATCATTTGGAGCGCCGCGGATCAAAATCACATTTCAGCTTCACATGTTTCTGTAACCCAACATGACATTTCAGTTGTACGGATCCGTTTAATTCATCCTCTGCCCAGCGAATGCATTAACGCCACAGACTCGGAAACCATTCCCAGTGGAAAAGGCTTTTGTTTTTCAGATATTAATGGGCCGTTGTTTTGAATGTTTTGTTGCCATAATCAAATGTCTCTTCTTCCTGTTTGTGAACCATTGAGCTGGATTTGAATGCGCTCTCAGTACAGGAAGAGGAAAGCTAATAACCGCAGGCAAACACTGGCGTGTGTTTTCATGTCTGTGAGATGAGTTATAGTATCCGATTCTACATCAGTCTGTTTATCCCCGCCCACCGATTCTACAGCACTGCCGTTTTATCCCCGCCCACTGATTCTAAATCAGTCTTTTTAGCCCCGCCCCCCGATTCTACATCAGTCTGTTTAGCCCCGCCCACCGATTCTACATCAGCCCCGCCCACCGATTCAAGCATGTAGTGTAAATAACCAGAGAGGCAAACCCAGGTCTATGCAGAAACCAAACGATAAACATGCTCCGAACACAGTCTTGGCACCGGAAAAACACAGTTTTGCATTGCCTTCCTTCTGATCCTAACATTAGGAAAGAGTTCATTTGTAATGAAGATCCAGACCGCATCAGTAAGAACTTGATCCTTTGTTAACCTCATCTTACCACAGATTCGTTTACAAACCAAGCACAATTCGACGCAGGATTTTCAGAAAGATTGAAACTAATAGATGATGCTGTGCAGATTACTTTGGATCACACCACACAAGTGTGAGTAATTGTTTTTACCATGTGGTCACTATTGCTTTGTCTGTTATTACAGATCTTTTGATATGTACTGAGTATATGCATTTTTAACATAAATCAAAGCAGCGTTCATCTGTGAAGGATGTAGGCTGTCAAACATACACAACTGTTAGCCAATCATAGCAGTGGCCGTTTACTTCTGAGTCTACAATCTGCCACGCCTATTCAAACAGAGGCGCTGCCGTTTTATCCCCGCCCACTGATTCTAAATCAGTCTTTTTAGCCCCGCCCACCGATTCTACATCAGTCTGTTTTGCCCCGCCCCCACCGATTCTACAGCACTGCCTGTTTAGCCCCGCCCACTGATTCGAGCATGTAGTGTTTAGGATAAAGGTCAGTGCGCAGGTCTACGCAGAAACAAAATGATAAAGATGCTCTGAATACAACAAGATGTTGTGCAGTGTCAAGTTGTGGAAAAATTGTTTGCATTACCTTCTGATCCCAG